AGTGAACTGGGAGGTTTAAGCGATAGTGGTAGTGGTGAGAGGATTCAAACAAACCACCTGACCACCGGCATTCAATGGTGGCATGGTACGAAATTCATGCAGTTATCGGACTAGCATGGAACAACAATCAGTATTTCTAAACACCCATTGAATTTCGTCTGGTGTGAGATATAATTTCACTTTGAATCTGATTGAAAACCTATTTGTTGAAGGGTCATGTCTACAAAACGAATGAAAGCTCGGATACCGATTCTAAATTATGTGTTCTCTTTCCTTCGGTTTTGAGTTTTAATATGCCAATAATATAATGATTGTGCCCGTTTGTGCTCTGCATTTTCCAGATCGCGGATTCTATGTGAATTCACGTCGAACCGCGAAGTCAGATAGGGGACACGGGAGACTAATTAAAATTCATCTGGACAGCAATATATTCGGTCAATTGAGCTTCTAAACCTAGCTATAGGAACCCGAGTCCGAATGAACCAAACATTAGCATACGACGTTTTGAAGGTTGAATTGGATTTCCTTAGTCACCGTAACGGAAGACAGCTTTGATGCTTTTCCAAGTGAACCATCAATTGAGCCGATTTTAAAACCAAAACAACGACTCCCAAAGTAAGAAAATAATTATTTGAAGCCGTATTCCGATCGGTTATCCAGAATCAAAATGTGAGTTTTTCATACGAAAGTGCAACTGAAGTCAAGGTGAATACATCAATAGACCTTTGCTCATCTGACACCGCCCTCATCAGTCGATAGGTATAGAAGGATCGAAAGTTGCATCTAGATGTATTTTAGCGGAGCCTCAGAGGAAACGGATGTTGGAATCTTGCTCAAAATGAAGAATTGCGCATGGAGTGAGCTTCTCTCCATCTAGTAGTATGTAGTAAGGTCAGTAAAGAAAGTATTCATCAGAAGCAAACAATTGCTGTAAAACAAATCATGTTGTATCACGTTCTTGGTTGATCGTGGACAACAACTACAGATCAAACTAAATACGAAACAACGCCATTGCTTTGCATCACTAACTCTTGCCCTAGTGTGTACCGTTTTGATCAAATCTTCGGTTAGTTTTACTCATGAGTACCGTGTCAAACTGCCCCGGATAACAATGCAACTGTATAGAGCGAGTAATGTGGTACTCAAGGATGGATTGTGAGTCCTGTGCTCCATCTTATCTATATTTACCTTTCATTTGGGGAATTAGGGATAAGACGAGAGCAGACGAATAAATTAGGAACGGAGTTTAGAACAGCAGTTTAGCTTAATAACAATACCTGTATATATACACTAATAGACCCTCGCAACAATACAAACCAAGCCAGAACAGAAAAATGAAGGCGTGCCGTTTAAGCCCCGCTAGGGCCATATCGAATTTTATGTTTGCAGCCTGTTGTTGAGAGCAAATCTTCGAACCCCGAGTGTAAATACAGATCAAAGGTTGATCTGGAATTCATACTTATAGAATGAACGTTTTTATCAAAAGAGAGATTTTCTAACAAATCGGTGTTTTTCAAAGTGTTCAGTTGCTGGCTAAACAGAAAAGAATGAAAAAGAATGGAAAACGAGGCACGACAGCTAGTTTTCTAGATAAGATCATCATGGTGTGCAACATATTAGATTAGCCTTTTCTATATCCTGGATTCAGTCATATTTTGGTTTTGCGTGAGACAGCGAGGGAGAGAGAGCACAAAATCGAATTCTCAGTCAGAACAATGCCAAAGCGATTCGTTGTATATATCTGGATTGACTAACCTCGACAGGGATCTCGTGAGTTGAGAAATTCCGCCAGGGTTACCCATCCACCTCCGACACGAACCATGGTAGTGCTATTCAGAAAGCGGACTAGATTGACTCGGTTACTAGCACCAAACTAAAACGCATTGCAGAGAATGTAAAGGATGAGTAAGAAAAGAGTATGAATAAATTGGTGATCGGTTGTAAGATAGTTGGTGGGCTAGAGAAATTTGAAAAATACATACAATTGGAACAAACGGAGATGTGATGGTCAACACTAAAGACTTTGCATGAACTTCACAACTGTGTGGGGCGGCGGTGGCCAAGTAGTTAGGTTACCAACTAGTAACCTGGGTGTCCCGGGTTCAAAACCGCTCCACCACCGCCCGTCTTCCTTATGTCTGTATTTTCTCCAGGCATACTTTGTATGGTCGCACCCCCTTCCTGGAAGTTGACTATACATTTTGTGTATTCAATAAATAGAAAAAGGAAGTAAAAAAGTAAAAAAGACCAATACTGATAAAACAATATCAAATAACAAATATGCTAGCTATTCGCACATTTTAATGGTTTGCATAGACAAAAGAGGGGAATCGAAAAGACAACATGCGATGTAAAAGTTGAGAATTTCTTCAGTACTTTCACCAACGGATTGTTGACAGAATGAAGTTGGTTTAAGTAAAATACTCACTAGAAATGACAGTTTGTGGAACACGTTCATCGTGAAGTACATGGCTATAATAGTATGTAGTTACTGAATTACTTGGCCGGATCGATTGCTTCGGACTGTCCATTAATCTGGATACGTGGACAACTGGGATTGACTAACAGATGATGATCGAACGGCTCGGAAATGCAGTCACTTGGAATTAGTGTAAAAACGAACAGTTTGTACCTTAATAAACTGTCATCCATCGTGGCAACATTGGCTCCATGTTGCTCCATATCTGAATTCGAAGTTTGAGTAGTTCTCCTTTCTAGATATAATGTAAACAAGTATATCGGAAACGGTCTACTCTAATTATATCGCCATCTCTCTGTCTTGACTAAATGAGGACAAACCGTGAGGTGACGCTTTAAGAGAGGATAAATGTGGGTTCGAAGATTTTCAATTTGTATTGTTTGACAGGTTTTCATTATATCCGGTGACGTTACCTTGCAAGTGCTAGGATACCTTTGGTGCTTTAATTTTTTCAGAAAGTACTCCCACTTAAATAAGGAATTTCTCTCGGGTAACTAATCACAACAAGGATGACCGAACCAAGGTGACTGGTCGGAAGCTGGAATCCATCAAGGGAATTGACGACATGCCAGCCAACCAACCATTATGTATATGCATTCTCTTCCCCATAAATAACCACGCGTTTTGCACAATTAATGAATGCCCACATGCTCCCAGTTGTGTTGTATTTTACTGCCTGTGAAATTGCCATCTGGTATAGGAAATGGGTCATTCGAGAATCTATTATCGAGATAATTTTGTGTAATTATAACAAGATACACTATTATGTGCTCATCTTGTGTGCAGCCGATACCAGTCTTTGAAACCTTTGGTCATCTGTTGCAAACGTTCAAGTGCGGTACAATTTAGCTGCACAGTGCTTTGAATTCCCCTGAAGACTTGGAATGGATATATAGATGGTTACTTATCGCTCTAGCAGAAATCACCGCCGCATCACACAATCGAATGATGAGAGTGAACTACGGGCAGACAAAACTTTGCGGTTTCTGTTAACGTCATTTCTCTTAGTCTCCACGATCTCACGGTTCTTTTAGATAATGCTATTGAACTCGTAATCCTCTGTAAGAAGATGTGGGTGCAAACCGCTGTGTATTTCTTTGAGTGGAACGATGGTATGTACAGTAGGAATGATTTTATACGGGCTATGAAGGATTTTGCTTATAGATCCATCAGATTATGTATCATCTCCTGAACCAGTATGATTATGTATCTGTACCACAGAATCAGCATATTTGATTCATGCTCTACTGGTTGGTCATTAGAGAATGTGTATACATATTTACTGATTTCCTCGTTGATCGACACTCATTCAGTGGAATTTCGCACCCTGATCCCAGCACACTAGTTCACTGTTTCAGCAGTTCAGCTTTCAATCAATGCTTACTCCACTCCGTGATCTTTGCGACCAACACGTTTCAGCTAGAATGCCTTACTTGGGCTTCATCATATACAGTGGCGGTGCATCGGTTATTTTTGTTTTGATCTAAAGAAGAGGGTAGCGATATGAGGAAAGCTGTTCCAGGGTATTTTCTGAGTTAACCAGTTGTAATTTTGTCGAGTAAGTTCTTCAAAAAGGCGAAGACATTAGCCAAGTTTTATAATTGTTGAAATAACTCATTCGAGTAATGACTACAAAAAAATTGCAATGGGACGCAATACAGATGAGCTGTCTGTCTAAATCCTTCGCTCAAATTTATTCACTTTCCATCAAGAAGCAAAGATCCCTAAGCACAAATCAACTTATTACAAGTTGCAGGGACTAGCATAACACTGACAACACCTACCCGGTATTTGTTGGCCTCCACGCACACCGGGAGAAATTTGGATTCGCACGTACACTTGCTAGTCTCGAGCTCTATTGCAGTTGCTATCAGATCATCCACCTGTACGGAAGATCGCTGAGAAAATAAGGGGATCAATGGTTGACGAGTTAACAAAGTGAAACAGATCAGGATTACCGAGTGAATCACAAAAAGATCCCTACGTAGATTCACACTGTGTTTGTAAAAATTCACTTGGGCTAAACCGTGAAAAGGGTATGATTAGTTTTAAGAACAAATGACGGTTGATAGTGTAAGAAATTGATGTGTACACTTATTACTGCTGTTATTATCATCGCATCGTCATTACATTTTTTCTAAACTGTGTGTATCACTCAGAGTTTCAAACCATCGGTTACGGTGATCCCCAGGTCCCCATCCAAGAAGCATGACGCGAACCATGTGAGCAAGTCTCCTGGTCAGGGCTGTCATATCCTCATACCAGGTCTTAGTTTGACAATCTTTTACTTTTTTCGCTCATTACCTGGCTCGGCACATATCGCGCGCCGTGGCAACTTATTTGTTGAAATGTGGAACACATGCAACAACTAACGTAATCTACGGAGATGGAAAACCTGGCCTAATGGGTGATCACGATCACCTCAAATTCTGCGTTGCTAACCTCAGCACTGTTAGACCGGTTTCCCCCCCCCCACCCACCCACACACACACACACTCGTGGAATGCGGTTTAGATAGCGCCAGTCTGTTTTTATCCTGATTTTGTAATGATTAAGTCTATACACCATCAAGAGGCAACTGCCGAGCTGCTGCAGAATACACTCGACCCTTCACAGACTACCGTATGTCTCAACGGCGCCATGTGTATAAATTTGGAAAATGTCCATCGAGCCTTCTGTATGCGTAACGGTACTTCATCCATGATGCGTAAGTAGGATGAGGCATAGCTGTCCAAACGGCGAAATTTATCCACTTCCTCTATTAGTTCCCCAGTTAGATTGCGGATGGGACCTGGACCAACCCAGTCCTCGAGCAGCATTTAGACTCTGAATGGGCAAGGCGAGACTAACGAATAAAGTATATGTAAAAGTAACCTCTTCNAAGTAACCTCTTCATGTGCGCACTCGTTCATCTGTTCCTATCAAACCAAATACCTTGACCATATCACCAGGCGCCTATCCGATCGCGTTCCGGAACCCCAAAAGGCTTGGTTGAATATGAAAACATTGTACATTGCGTTCCCACCATCACCCCCATCTTTGTGCTCAAAAGCAAATCGTTAAAGCGATTAAGCTTTCCCGAGCCACTTCATCTTCTCCAAGACGTGAAAAACCACTTCGATATATTGCATTGTGATCAAATTTATGCACACACACACACACACCTATACTATTAGAACGAATTGAACAACCAACACAGGGGTTACACTCTGATCGTGTCGAATTACCATGGGGCACCTGAATATACGTTCATTATTACGTAGGAACCAGGAACTTGGATATTTTCTACACCTCTACTACACTTTGTTGATCAGAAGAGAGGAACTAGTGAAGGTTCAATATCTACTCCTCGTTTAACTAGAAAGCAATCAATTAAATTCATTCAACCTATATGCATACAAAGTAACCAGGATTCAGACTAACCTGTCGTTCTGGTTTTAGTGCATCGGCAAGTTGTTTGTATGTGATACGCCCACGTTTCGCTGTGTCGATAGCTCGAAAAGCCGCACGCAACTCTAAAGGACTGGAACCAGGGAAGTCCGGCCGATCTCGTAAGATTCGCCGAACAAACTGCGAGCAGTTCAATTCAATCTCTCCTTGCCCGTTATCTGTGCCATCCATGACCGCCGACAGCTGATCCGTAGACCCGGCTCCCGAGAATCGAGAACAACTGCTGCCAAAAGCAATCGGTTTGACAGGTGAGGGTCCACGACTACGTAGTCCGTTTTCAGTTGAATCCACACCGGGGTTATAAGCACTGCTACTCGTGGATGCACGTCGTGTGAGTGAATTATTATCCGATTTTGGAACAGTGAGGGGTGTATTGACGAGTTGCGTAATGGAACTGGAACCAGACTGGGACGTGGTGTTTGGCCGTACACGGAACAAATCCAAGAGACGAAAACGTCGGACAGAAAGCCAATGCAAATAGTTTTCTTTCCAACGAGCGAAATCGAAATTTTTCATATGGATGTGCTGTTTGTGCCATGAAAGATTGTACACCGAGAAGAAAGAATGGGCAATACGGAAGTGAATATTTCAGAATTATTAGGTTCACGTGCCAAGCATTGTTTAATTCATGCAATTTGTTGATGATTGGGTGAATCATAGTTTTCCTTCTAAAGTGACGAATTCGAAAGACAAAAGTTTATCTTAGACAGCGTATTAAGTACCTTTAATAGGATGTTGCATTGGATGACAATAACAATAACCACTCCAAACAATAGGGATTTTGAAACGGTGGACTACACTGCTAGGCCACACAGCGATGGAATGCCTGCGATCGGCTCCTGCCAGTAGAGTATATTACCGTGCACTATCAGTATTGCCCAGTAGGCTTTAAACTTGGTTTCTTTTATTCGTTAACTCGTGAAAAACGAAGACAGTTTAATTACGGTTACTGACTAAAAACGATTTTCAATATATAAGTAACGAAGAAAACGGGGACAAATGAGGTGAGTTGCAATAAGGGTTCTATGTATTTTGAAAAGAAAATCATGCCTGCCTCACTTCACCTAATTTCATACTTCCTGTTTCTTCGTACGGGGATTCATTATTAGAATCGTGCATGAAAATTAGTTCGAGCAATGTGTAAGCTTTGCTTCCATCTCATAAAACAACGAAACCCTCCGAAAATCCTCACATGATTTTAAAAACACTAATCACTACGTGCTTTTAAGACCGATCAACCAAGTCAGAACATGAAGTGATTCTTGAAGCGCGCATTCACAACCTATTTGGTGCATATATGACGAATCCATATATGGGGACGTGATCACTTGTGACTGAAGGACCACACAATTTTACAGGACAATTGGACAGACCAAGGAGTGACCTAACTAAAGCAAAGAATTTAGCGCAACCATCTGAAGGGGTACTATATTTTGAACCAGTAACCCATTCAACCCCATCCGTGACTACAAACTGCCTCAAAGCAACAAGCTTTTCAAATGGTCTGACTCATTAATTCGAAGTCAGGATACATCAAACAGAACCAGGCGTCAGTACTATTCATTGAGGCCACTTAAGCTAATAACTTCACTTCGATTGTAATGGATCATTTGAAGCCTATCGCAGTTGACCCAAGTGAATGATTAAATATTTCTCACTGAGGAAATCTATGGACTGAGCAGTATCGACGCGATCCATCAAACACGTATGCTCTTCTATTCATACTAATCTCCTTCTCTTTTCCACTTGTTGAATGTACAAACAGTCGCGAAGGAATGATCACAGTATTTGTATGTCGCAATCAGTTTTCTTTCAGCATTCACTAATCAAATCCAGAGGGTCGGGTTGTGTAACTCGACGCTTGTCAATAACACCTAAAAGAAACCAATCGTTTAGAAACAAAAGAATCGAGATCATTGTCAATAAAAAAAAATTTTGGTTCTGTTGGCTACGTTCTAAGCCGATACCGATCGTTCGCATCTAAACTATACCAAGTGGATACCTTGTTCTATGTGTGACATTATCATAAGCACCGTACTCTGGGGGTGACCGCCTTCTTCAGGCTTTGACGGTATGATTATTACAAGATATGTCAAATTAAGTTTCAAATCTTACTGCGGACAAGGCCTCTTGCAACCGTTGCATATCCGTGAGACGTTCTGTAGTTTGCTGTAGGACTGCGTGAAACTCGGTCTCCACCGATCGGCACCGCTTTTCGCGTAGCTGATCCAGGCTGATAGAACCGCTCACTGGCGGGACAGAAAAACCCTGGACCACCGGACGCCAGGCTGATTCCGTTTCCACCAAATGGCTCATTCGAGACTCTGGTGATGTTAGACCCGAGTCAAATTCAATGGATGGTTGTGATAGAACCGATAGTGTGTTCATTTCTAAGTCCACGTCCTCACCATCCACCACTTCTTCTTCGGCTTCATCGTCAGCCTGGGCGCTACTGAATGTGTCCACCTCTACCAGACAGTGTTGTTCGCTATGTTCATCCGATGCACTGACTGAGAGGAACGGACCAGTGGACGAGCGGGGTCGTGCGACTCGAGCCGAAGTAGGGGTGCGGGCACGAGTTAAGTCCGATCTGTCTCGTAAACCAAAAGCTTGACGATAGGCTTGAAGACGTGCATTGATTTCATGCTGACTAGTTAACACAGACGTTTGCATACCCTGTGCGAGACATAAATCAGACGGCGGGGGGGGATGTGACCTTTGAGATTCACCAGAATGTGAACAGTAGGAGTAAACACAATCAACATCAAAAGTTAATATAACAGAGAACGTGTAAATCTCAGTTACGCTTACCCGCTTTATGGCAAGCGTTCTAAAAACAATTCCATAATTTGGTTACCTGTGGGAAGAAAAACCACCATCTGTTTGGCCGTGCATTAGTTTCTGAAGAAGTCAAGCTTTCTTCTGGCAAAAT